GCATGCGCAACGCTGAACTCATACGTCATCAGCCCGGAGCTGCTTCTGTGTACAACAGTGAGCGCAAGCTAGATTCAACTTTGATTCAAGTGATTATTACGTTTTGAATATGGATATTTTTCTTACAAAAACGCATCAGTTTGCTACAGGAGGCCTTTGTTTACCCCCCGGAGCCGTGTGAGACACTTTTTTTTATGGATGGGTGCTTTTTATTTAAGTTCTTTTGGACTGAAGCAATGCAACACCCGCTGACTACAATGATAGAGCTTGAAAGATAAAAGACAATTTTTAATATAACTCCGACTGGATTTGTCTGAAAGAAGAAAGTCATATACACCTAGGATGCCTCGGGGGTGAGTAAAACACAGCCTAATTTTCATTTTTGGGTGAACTAACCCTTTAAGCATTTTGGAGATATTCAATCTATATCTTCATTTGTAAAGGAGCGTTTTATTTTCAGTTAGAGGAGCCATGACCACACATGATTTTCATTAACTGGTACATATACCAATTTATCAATATGTACTACTATTTATACTTAAACATTTCACTGAAATATACACCATTCAAAGTTTGTTAAAAAGTTTAATGTTTTTGAAAGAAATCTTTTGCTCACCAAGGCTGCATTTATTTAACAGTAACAACTTAACAGTTTTCTCTTTTAATATACACTCTAAAAAATGCTGGGTTAAATACAACCCCGTGCTGGGTAAAATAGGGACAAACCCAGCAATTGGGTTGTTTTGACCCAGCGGTTGGGTTACTACCCAGAAGGTTGGGTTAAACATTTAACCCAACCGCTGGGTCAAAACAGCCCAATTGCTGGGTTTGTCCCTATTTTACCCAGCATGGGGTTGTATTTAACCCAGCATTTTTTAGAGTGTATTTTAAAATGCAATTTATTCCTGTGGTGGCAAAGCTGCCAGTCTTTAGTGCCATTTTTACTACTGAAGTTCAAATTAGATTTAAGTTTTAAAACATTTGTCTTAACACTCAATCTTAACAGGGAATTAATGACTAAATAAAATGTGCTTTTAAATCATCGTGATATTATATATCACTGGTACTGTAAGTATATTGGGACTATTTTGTGAACCACCATCCTCTAATGAGATTCTGCTCAGGAGCTGCTTTCCATTTGGACCGAATGTAACACTAAATCATTAAAAAGAAATCAGAAAGCATAAGCTACATAATTGTCACTTGTGTCTCATAAAAGGCATCTGTATTAAAGTGCATATGATCAGCTGGTTTAATCCTACACATTGATAAATAACACATTCATATCACAAAAGCTAGTAGACTGGACTTTACAGCTGTCCTCAAAACAAATGACCTTGGACAGCCTGGATGATTCCATCGGTGTTACAGTTTTTACGGCCCACATCCCTCAGGGCTTCTTTGAGAAGCAGAGTAATTAAAGAAGCAGTAATTAACAGCATCAGACTAGCAGGCCTGAATCTGATCCCCCTCCCCCCCGGGACCCAGGGGACAGCAGACGAGGCCCAGATAGGATATGAGTGGCACAACTGCCTGGGTATGATGACCCTCTGTGAACACTAGTTAGTTTAGTAATAGCAAACCCCACCTCCCGTTCCCCCCTTTATCCAGTACTTACAGAGGTGAAGTGCAGCTCACCAGTAAAAGACACTAATGACTTTTAATAATGGAAAGAGTGGCCAATCTCAGAGTCAGCACTCACAGGATAATGTTGCAGATCTGTAAGCCGTTCGTGGACCAGTGACCATCTCTAATGACAATGTGGTGGTTCACAACTTACACTGCAGTTCAGTCAACATGAGAATAAAGGACGGCATCACTGATACGAACCGTTACAAACTGACCATTTAATTCCCGTGTCATTTCCAACAAATCTCCAGTCATTTGTGATTACTGGATGAAGGCTTTTACAAAATCCTTTTGACTGAGGAGGATTCATTAATGAATCATTTAGACCAATTTGTGAAGCAGTTTTTTAAAGAACTGACTCAAATGAGCAATTTGCTCACAAATGGTATCTTGTTGCATGATTAAGTTCTATACTAAACAAGAGCAACAGGCTATCTAGCAGATATATCTCAATCTCTAAAAAAATATATTTTACAGCAGAGTGTGAAAAATAGGAGAAAAAAAAAACATTATTCACTAAATAAAATTCAATGACTTTACCATGATCAAGATTTTACCTTGACTTTTCCCTGATACTTTCTGGGTGACTGTAGGACGTCTAGACTGGTCATTATCAGGGTTCTCAAAAAGGTCTAATCATGAAAAATAAAGTTTTCCCATATCATTAGAAATAAAAGAGTTAAATGCATGTTAACATATCTCAACTTTCAGAACTCCCTGGAAAAATGAGCTCATTTATTAATTTTCAAAATTGTTTGTTCTAAAATATCCTTGAACGTCTGACTTTACAAATACTGAAAGTTAGGCTACAGCTACACTTATACATCAACAATGCGGGTGTCCAGAAACGTGGCCCAGCCAGCCATGGTCAGACAATAAGGAGAGAATAGGATACATAAATATATACACACTATAATTCATAAACACTGGAAGAACTAATGGGAGTTGTACTGTTCCTGGTCCTGTCCCATACTGTTCCTGGCTCTGTGTAGTGTTGTTAATCTACAAACTTTTTAAAGGAATCGGTGTATATCCTAGTGGACTTTGTCTATTTCAACGAACCCTCAAATTCCATGTGGAAAATGTAAGGCACAAATTCATGACATCACTTTTGAACAACAGCCTAAACTGACTGATCAATATGACGTATTTTCATTCTGTTAATTAATACAAATAATTTGGCTCTAAATGTTACAAGTTTTTATTCTCAAGTGATTTTGTAGTCTGGAAGCAAAGGGACTAATAAAGGATACTCTTTGTGCCTCTAAATTCTCAAGCAATTCACCAACAGATTTGATGTTTCTAAGATGACTGCTGATGTACTGCTGAAATTATGCCAAAAAAAACCTCTGACCTCTGCTGAAGCTGAATACCTTATATACGTAACAATTAACTCAAGATTTGCACTGACACCCCAAATGAACAAATGAATAGAAGACCTTCTCCTATAGTAAAAAAAAAACAAAACAAAACAAACAAAAAAAAAACCTGTTTCACGCTTCATTTCACTGATTCTCCATGGCTAGAGGTCATGGCACCAGAATAACTACTTGATGGGCAAGATGTTGGATTAAAAATACTGGACTTTAAGGCAGCAAAAATTCAGTTTCTTGAGAGTTGGCCACTGAAATTAGCCTTATGCCCGGACACTGATTAAAAACATAGTGGTAGATTCGCTGTCTGAAAATCTCGTTTCATGCTTAGTTTAGACTCCACACACAGGTTACGATAATGAGAATATTCAGCTGAACTACATATCTAAAAAATAACCTTTCGTCTGTCCTGTTCTTCCTCAAACAGTGAACGGTGACATTAGTGCAGTCTAAACACGCTCTTCACTAAATGCCATTCATATACTAGAGGCTTATCCACCTCCATCTAAGGTCATTTTGCCTTTGTGTTTATATCATCCTGTGAGTCACTGCAAACATACCATCTACAACAACCCTGGATCTGCCAATCAGGGCCAGACAGACTTAAAAGCCAATACAGATAAGAGCAGCCATATTAATACCTCCCTTATGGTATATTTTGCTCTTTGGATCCTGCGGTAGGCTGTGAGAACCGGGGAGATTATCCCTCCGAAACATAAATACAAAGAATCACAGATGTAGCCAATACAAACTACACACAATCTCTTAAATGTAGCATCCCTTTGTTTAACCCAAACAGCAAGGAATAACAACGGGATACAGCAGAGATAACAAACTGGAATTGGATTGCTTTTGATTCTCCGTGACCTCTGAAGTTCAATAAGAGCAGCAATGAAAAACAAAATGCACAAGGAAAACACACAACGGTCAGAAAAAAAGGCAAAAATTGATTTTCCAATGGTTGCATAAAGTAAACTAACATTTAAATTAATTATTTATGTGACTGTATATTCATAAATTATAAACATATAATATTTTATAAATTAATGTTTAGATTAATTATTTGTTTGAATAACAATCTAAATAATTTATAAATGAAAGTTTATGTATGTATAATGTTTTATATCTATAATGTATACGCTAAGTTTAAATTATTTATTTGAATAATTAATGTGAATTCATAATGTACAAAATTATATATATATATATATTTAACAAACATCGTTTTGTTCATTGGTTTCACTGAATCACAAAATAATGTCAAGCTGTATAAAGAATAACATTATCATAACATTATTTATGCAGCTAAAACACTATAAAAACACAAAAAAAGTCACTTTTCCAGATGAATATATGCACATTTGGTGTAGCAAAAGCCAGTATTCAAATATTAAAGTCTCCATCTATTAGAATAATGGATTGTATGTGTGCAGTAGATAAATATGTCTTTCAGCTTGTGATGATGAATCATACTGGTTAAACATCTGGAAATTAAACACAACGTTATGCATATGAACCTTGTTATGGTCAACTGATGCCATTGTGTCTTTTAGCAATGCATTTAACACCTGTATTGTCACTGTCTCTGAACTCTCTGAATAAAGGTGTCTGCTAAAGCAGGGGTTTTCAAAATGGACCTCCTTCCTAAAATATATATTTTAATGTATAAAGATCCAGTTTATACTGTGAAAAAAATTACAAAAACTTGTGTCTTTAGAGGCAGAATGAAAAAGTATTTTTTTTACTTTTTTATTTTATATTATTATTATTACAGTTATATTCGTTAATATTATTATATTCTTCCATATTCTCTAATATTATTCTTTAATATTTCCTTTTATGTAGACCCAGTTTGAAAACCCTTTTGCTAAATGACAAAATCTGTTAGACTTTCACAATACCTTGGCTTTCCCGGTGCTCTGTAAGATGTGCACCAGAGCGCAGGCCATCTCCTCTTTGTTCTTGACGCTGATGACCGGCTCCAGCACAGAGCAGAGCAGCATGTAGTTGTTGGTGGTGTACTCGGCAAACTCTTTGTAGAGCTCCATGGGCAGGATGTTCATGCTCTGGTACCGGGTCTTGATGCGGACCATGGGACCCGCTGTTTTCCCTTTACCTGGATTGGGTTGGCTAACTGGGTACCATTTCTCAACCAGCTGCCTGCTCGTGACATTCACCACTGGAATGCTCACTAACCCCACGTAGTTGTTCTTGTCCTTTTTCTTCTTCTTGTCTGAGTCCCTATAGAGATGGATGGTGATGTTCTGGACTGTAGGGAGGTTATTGAACTCAAAGTGTTCACCCCAGAAGATGTTATCTGTCTTCAGCTTGCAGGTGGTGCGGGCATAGAGGCTGTCGTCCAGGCAGAGCTCACAGAAGTACTTTTTCTTGGCCGGAAGGTCCTTAGCTTCGATGATCCACAGCTGAAGCGTATTCTCCACCCGCCGACTGTTGTCCTAGAGACGAAAGGGCATTGTGAGGTCAGTGGACATGTCATGGCTGTAGTAGATTATTACCACATCAGTGTGGCATCTAACAGGGTCAGTGATTTAGAGATGCTTTTCAACTCAGTGATTAAATACCCTCTGCTTCAGATCACCCACCCTTGGCTGGAAATTAAAAGGCCCTTTATTTTGGATCACTTCATGTCCTTCCCATAAAGATAGCGGGACGGTGCTGTAAATACTGTGTGACGTCATTCAGCACTTCATGTCATTCACTGGCCTTTTTTTAATAGAATACTCTTTCCAGTGTAAAGTCATGTGGTTTAATATATGAGGGACGGCCATAAAGTTGACCTGCATCATGCTGTAGTTAAGGTTAAGCTTTTGTTGAACTATAACAGAGGTTAATTTATAGATATCCCTCCTTCTTCTTATAACTTAGGAGGCAATGGAGGATGAGATCAGAATAAAACTAAATGTCACAGTTATTTCTGAGGCCACAGACCGTCGTGAATCACTGAGCTGAACAGACTAAAGTCCTCGCTCACCAGTGGTATACAGCAATTCTTGTCCCCCACACGCAAGCCAGTGCACAGTGCCCCGCCCACAATTAGTGATGCCATGCAGAAGCATCTGTATCTGGGGTGAAATGTTACCACTGATGGAAACACTGATAAATAGTGATCATATCTGGGCAATTTAGCCCTCTCCTAAACACTTCATTTATCATTTTCTGTGTGGATAAATTTTTTGTTCCTCTTTCTAGGTTTCTGTCATTTAGAAAGTATAAATTTGGCAGGCTTTAAGAGGTCTACAGCTGGTTAGTGGTGTAGATTTAAAGCCGGTGATGTAGGTCACTAAGAACTGTTGTATGAAAAAGGCTGTATCAGGGCTGCATGACTGCGACTGCAAATGCGATAAAAAAAACACCTTCAGGTTTGCTGTGCTTGTTTGATATATATGTATTAATAATAATAATAATAATAATAAATGTATTATTAGTAGATGTAGTAGTAAATTAAAATGTGTTCTGTATGTACAAATATACAGTATTAAACTATTGTAATATTCCACTGAAATAAAAACATTGAATATTTAAGAAAAACAACAACAATAATTTTACAGTACAACTGTAAATTTGCAATACTAATATTTCTGGCTTAAAGCTTAGCTTTTGTTTAACAGCAGTCCGTTTAGAAGTGTTTCTCATTATAGTTTTGGGGAAATGGCTAGCACATGTTGCGTTGCTCTGAAACGCAGAAAACATTGGATCACAAGTTCACTCTGAAACACGTAGCACATACATTGATCTGGGATTTTATAATCACACTAAGCCATATCAGTATTATTATCGGTTTTATTTTCATTAATCATGCAACCCTAGCCTGTATAAAGATTCTTTCAAATTCTAGAATAAATAATAATACAACTTCCATTTTTGAGTGAACTATGCCTTTAAGGCTTGACTGATGAATTGCTCTATAACAGCAGTTGACTGTACTAGGAACTACTGTAGGCACTGTGTAGGACTCTAGTGCTCACGGATATTCCCACAGAAATAAACATCCACTAAGGCAATTGATTTCGCATCTTGGTATTGAGGTGCTCCATTGTGCGCCCTCATCACAGATAATGAACTAATTAGGCAGACAGAAATGGGCCTCTGCTGCAGAAGCTAATGCCTGAGCTATGATCATCTCCACACTACTACAGCATCAACATCTGTCTGAAAGCATCATCTGTTCACGGCAAATCTCTGTAAAGCCTGGCTCTGGTGTTCACCTCAGAAACCCACAGAGTAATTAAAATGTAAGACTGAGCGGCGAGGAGACATTAAACACATCCCCAGGCAAGCTGTGAAGAAGGCAAATGTAACTTGAAGGGTGTGCTTGATTTTTTTTTTTTAATTAATCATTAATTTGCTTAATCATTGATTGGTGAAATGAGCTGTCGGATGAGATCTTTTTTCTTGGCGCATTCAAAGCGGCCATATGTTTTGCTGTTTCTCTCCTGTATCTCGTGTGCTTATATCAAAGAGAGAAGGAAAAAACTGCCCTGAATTTCATCATTCTTACAGAAAAAGAAACATTATTTATTGTCTCTTCTTTCTTTGCATTGAGTTGCATTTCTCCAGTAATAAATCAGAGCATCTGCATCAGGTATGATTTTAGCCTAAGCAGGTATAAAAGCACTTCTGCAGGAAGGTAAGTTTACCTTATTAGGGTGGATGGCCCGTCGCAGGTTCTCCATCCATTTGTCTCTCTCTGCGGCCGAACGACAAGAAAAGCACTTACTACCTGTGGAGGTGCTCACCTGGAAAAAAGGTTGATAATTGTCAGCTTACTGCGAGAATCTCATGGCTACCAGCTTGCTTATGACAAAAGCAAACCTGTGCCATGTTTTAATGTCATTGGAAAATTTGTTACTAACAAGAAACAAAATGCAAAATTGAATCACATTTACAGACAGAGATTTTGTAGGTACAAATACAGCATTTAAAAAAACGTGTTCAGAAAAATGGATATAAACAATCACATATGCTATATACAAGCTATAAAAGAAGCTATATAAAAAGAGAGCTTGTGAATCGAATCAAAATTGAATTAAATTGAATAGATTCTGCTTGATACAGATTTCCTGGTTTGATTCAATTATGATCAATACAGATTTCCCAGTTTGATTAAATTCTGGTTCAATTTACAGGATCGTGATTTGATTCTGAATTTGATTAAATTCAGGTTTAATCCACAGGCTCTTCATTTGATTTGATTCTGATTTAGATTATATTCTGGTTTAATCCACAAAATCTTAATTTGATTTGATTCTGATTAAATTCTGGTTTAATCCACAAACTCTTGATTTGATTTGATTCTGATTTTGATTAAATTCCAGTTGATTTGTATATATTTTAGGTATAACACCCATTTTGTTTACAATTCTTCTTTTTTTATTTTGTGGAAAAATCATTCTCCACTAAAATTCAAATTATCAAATTATAAAATAATTTTAAAATATTATAAAAATTGACCCTGGGATTTAAAAAATCGATATTGGGGCTGTTCAATTAAGATCTTAATTAAATGGAAATCACTTAAAAAAAAAAAATTTGAAATCAATATAATCAGACAAAGTGTTTTTTGCCAGAAACTTGCCTGGTTAGAACCACTGTCTTATGAATGACGATATACTGTAATATTGAATTCAAATGAACGTACTGAGGGTTGAGAGAGATCAGATCAGTGAATTTATTGATGTATATAATGTAAAGCGAGTGAAAGAGGTGTCTATACCTCAAAGCAGTAATCTTGTCCGAGGATGGAGCTGTGCACTGGTTTAATAAGGACCTCCTCCTCCATGCTGAGGTCCAGAGCTTCTACTGCACTGCTGGGACTGAGCAAAGACTCGTGAGAGCGCGACTCCTTCAGCCTGGGATTCAGATGAGACCTGAAACAGGAACACACACCAACCAGTGACACAAGTGTCTCTCTTGTACACACACTCTCAAGTTTTTCAACACATAATCATTTATCTTGTTAACAAGACAAGATGATCGAATGGGAATATTTATGGCAACCACAAAGCAAGTGTTATCACTGCCTAAATTGCAGGGGTAATGTGAGGACTAGTGCTGTCAAATGAATAATCGAAATTAATTGCATATATAATTTATATTATATATAAATATTTTATATATAAACAAAACATTTTTCTTAATTATATACATGTATGTGTGTATTTATTCTGTATATACATAATAAATATACACCGTACACACATATATAAACAACATTAAATAAACAAAAACTTTTATTTTGGATGCGATTAATCGTTTGACAGCACTAATGAGGGCACACATTCTGGTCCTATTCAAAGACATTCACACAGCATACAGTATACTGAGACAACAGACTCTGTGGGCAGCCTTAAAGAGACATACAGGACACAGCAGTTTTGAGGATCAAAGAATAATAGATGTTTGAAACGCAACAACATAGATTGAGTCTCCAAAGTGTGAAGACAGCAGCAATAATATAGCAATAATACAGGTCATACAGGTCTATAGCTGTTAACTTGCAAAGGAAAAAAAAAAAAGTCAGAAAGGTAGATCATAGAGGAAGTTGTGTGTGCTTGCGTGCATGTGTGAAGAATGTAGCCATTTAAGATGCCAATACCACTTGTGTCACATCAATTCAACACGTTTCGCATCCATAATAAACAGTGATGGGAGATAGCAAGCATATCATTCGAAAATCCAACATGTTTCCAGTAGTAATTAGAGTGGGAGATCTCATCTAAGATGAAGCCTGTGTTGGTCTGAACTGACGTTAATTAGTGTTTGCTACAAAGCAGATCTGATTTGGAAACAGTTCCACTACTCATCCCTTCATGTCAGCTGGAGAGAGATGTGCACAGAACACTCTTCATCTTCTGATCTCCAAGGAATACATCACACAAAAATGAAACTTCTGTCATTATTTACACACCCCAATGTTGATGTGCAGCATATCCCCTAAAAATTGGGTTGCTGTGCATCTGGCTGTGATGAAGGTTTAGTATAGTAGGTTAGGTAAGGTTTTAGAATACAGATTAAAACGACTTAATTTATATAAACTACGATGCTTTCTAGTTACAACTGGAGCTCAATAACCAATATTTTTTGTATCATACTTTTTTTTTTACTGAACATTATTCATAGACATTATATTATTTACATTTTATTTATTACATTTTTATTACATATATTTTATGTAAATATAATATGTACATGCTAGGAAGCGTCTCTCTCCATAAACAATCATCATCAACTGTTTGTTGCTGTGTGTATCTCATAAATTATTTACTATTCTCTTACCCTGAACTCTTTATTTATCTCCCCCTCTCCTTTGTTTTTCTTTCCTTGTTTCTTCCACTCTCCTTCTTTCTCTCCTCCACAAAGATCTTCAGAGGTAAGACTACTCCTGAGACCAGCCTTGTCTCCTAACCACTGAGGCTTCAGAGCACATACAACGTGTGTGTGTGTGTGTGTGTGTGTGTGTGTGTGTGTACAAACTGGTTTATTTCTGATTGGCTGAGGTGAAACGAAGCAGAGGACTCTGAGAGTAATTGGAGCAAAAGGGGATTGTGGGATTGATCCACGCTTGAAGCGGCCTTGGAGAAATGGAGTATCAAACTAGCAGTCCAAACGACAGGTTGAGTTTCAGAATGAGGAGAAACCAACGTCAGTTTTCCTGACCGGGAAACATTGATGGGATGACAGGTGTGTTGGGGGTTAATCTGAATGGTCGTCAATCACTTAGTTACTGGATATGAAACTTGCAACATCAAAAGAATGTTCTCTAAACATGAACTTCTTGTTTCTGAATGAAACAGACAAGTTTCCTTGAGTAGGATCTAATAATAGCTCTTCAAGACTATCGTGAGAGAAGAAGGGGCCAGGAGCGAAAATACCTCAGAAGCTCTTTTTTAGTCAGCAAGTTTAGAAGGGGATCAAGTGCCACTGAAACAAAAAGAGAACAGTTCAGCACTTTCCATGGGCTCATCTAAAGCTTATCTTTCGTTTTGAGGAGAAGATCAAAAAATCTCATCATGAATTCAGAACTTTCTATGCAAAGGAGACAATACCTCATTCACTTTTGAACCATGAATATGAAGGGCTATACCAATGCATTAAGTAAAATGAAAGATTACAGAACAGTGTGCTCAATGACAAACTCATCTTGCCGACCAATTATGGTAGACACCACATTTAATTTGATGCAAACTGAAAATATGACTGAGAAGGACAGATGTAGTGCGGTCAGTAGTGTTCTCTATAGTCGATAGAGACCAATTTTGAGGGGGAATCCGATTTCTTACAACACCAGCCCAGTTGGGATGCTCATATCAGTGCCACTTGTAGTGCAAAAATTACACACTGCACCTTTAAGACAATACAACCAATCGAATGAACTCACAGCCTCATTTTTATTCTGTGAGTTGTTAGATTCAAACCTGCATGCATGGATGTCATGTCTTGTGCATGAAACTACATAAAAATCACATTATCCTTGATTTCTTATAAAAAAAAAAAATTGTATCTAATTTTAGAAATAATGCTTTTAAAGGACACTCAAGAAGAGCACTTTCCCTTTCAGTCGGTCACTCTCGACGTCACGTCGGATGACCGACGAATTGGGATCTCGCTTAGAGGGACCAATCTACTTCGAGTGTAAACTAAACGAGCCAATGCACATTGGCATGCGATTATTGCATCCAGCTGCTGCTGATCACAGCGTGAGTATAAGTAGGCAGCAGATGCAGCGCATATTCAGCTTTTCGCTTCGGAGCCGAGCGGTTCTATCGTTCTGCTCCTGACCTTCCTACAGTAGTGAGAAAAACTACAGTCAAGCACGCTCTTCGGTGGGCTCTCGTGCTGGTGGACGGCGCTTCAGCGGCGGTGGTTTTCCCGTGTCGAGTGGGTTGCACACAACAGGATGCACTACCCTGTGTGTGTTGCAGACGGCCATCTCCCCTATGCGCTTCAGCACACTAAAAGAGCAATTTCCAGCTAAAAGAGCTTCACGGGTGGAACGTCTTTTTAAAGATGTC